AATAAATGTTATATAACTAATTCATTTTTACGCTATTTGTCATATTTATTTCCTCAGAAAGTAATGTTTCACAGAAAAACCACAGATTTAAGTAGCTGACATAAACTCCCCCTGCCCATTATACTGACAGAGAAAAACAACAACAACAATAAACTTGAATCCTTATAACAGAAACCACATAATTAAGTGCCGTCCAGTTAGCTCAATAGGTATGTGTAGAGCGTTGGACTGTGAATCGGCGACCTTGGTTCGATTCCTGGTCAGTGCATGTCACTTTCGTTGTGACTGATCATTAAATCCTTTCTTCGGTCATTCATTCGCACTGTGCCTCTGCTATGGCATGTAAAGAAATTAATCATTTCCTTGCGAAAATTAAGGAAACTAGTACTGATAAAATGCTTGACAGCCAGCACAGGAACGATGCAATAGTTGAACTGTGCTAAGGTAAATTCAATGTGGCTAACTGCCCAATTTCCAGAGTGCAAACTACCAACACCATCACCACATTTTAAAAGGTGGATTACTAGATGCATGAGTCCAAAGACTCCAATATAAAGTGTATTGTCTGGCCAACCTTTATTATTTGTACAGTTTTAAACATTTGACATTTACCATCAAAAAGAGCCGCAGGTTATCCCCTACCTTGCATAAATTGTAATTGTAACTGCCATCAGTATAAAGCCAGGCACAGGCCAGCTAGCACATAAGTCAGGCCAGCCGGCACATAAGCCAGGCCAGCCGGCACATAAGTCAAAACAGCTTGCACATAAGTCAAAACAGCTTGCACATAAGTCAAAACAGCTTGCACATAAGCCAAAACAGCTTGCACATAAGTCAAAATAGCTTGCACATAAGCCAGGCCAGCCTGCACATCAATACAGTCTGACCAGGCTTTACTAAAGTTTCATCTTGATGTATCCGCTAGAAGATGTTGATTGATTGTAAGTAACTTTTCTGGCAAGCATATTATTATTTTATTCAACGAGTTCAATAAATTCATTGATGAACTTTCACGAATATTATATTCTATTAAACACAAACCAAATATATAGTCTTTTTAAAGTGAAAAAGACTAATTTTTCATTGACGCGCCTGTAGTGTAATGCTAACATTAAGCGCATCTTTACACTATGTTTGTATAACACAATCATGTCACATTAAAATATATGCACGGCCGCGCTAAGACGTGCCCAGAAAAGAAGTTTAATAATCGTCTTGTGTTATGTCGTCGCTTCCTTATTCTCATGCCGGTTTCTTTATTCTCGTGCGTTTAAGGTTGTTTTTTGTGCGTGTGCGTGTGTGCGCGTGTGCGTTTGGTTTATTTATCTCTTGCGCACGAGATACTATGTCGTGCGCACAAGTTACTAAGTCGCGCGCACGAGATACTTTAAGTCATGCACAGGACTCAGTAACTTAATTATCTCGTTCGCACCACATAGTTACTTAATTATCTGGTGTGCACGACTTAGTAACTCGTGCGCATGACATAGTATCTCGCGCGTACGAGATAAATAAATCACAAACATGTCACCTCTGTGCCACCGTAAAAAATCTACATCTATTATTTGAGCTTTATGGCCCATCTTAATGCAGTTGTTTTAAGTGCATAGTTTCTGTTATAAGCGTGCAACTGAAATACTTAAACGAAAGAAAGAGTTCTTATTTACGAACTATGAATATCTTAAATGAGTTGTCTGTTTATATATAATGAACTGCATGTTCACCATTCATTAAAGATGTGACCATGTTCTATTTCCTCTTATCAGTAATTTGGCGAAAGTGTCCTTCTATAATAGGCATCCTGTTTTGATAGATATAAACGGGAAATATTTATGCAAAAGTGTCACAATGGACATAACAAGTCTTTCCAAACTAACCACAATGCCGCGGCCAGAGGAGGCATTACCAGGTAAGGCGTTGCCTTTTTAAGGTTCTGGTTATCTAGAGAAATTTGGCTTTTTGCGTTTTTGGTGATTAAGAACAAAACATGATAATTATTTACGCCAGTTGCGATTCGTTTTTCTTTTTCTTTCCTTGTTGTCTTCTCAGTTTGGATGAACCCTAATTAATACAGGGTGATGTCCAGTTTGAGCTTTTATATTTCGAACTACATGTACATTGAAACCAAACATTGATGCACGTTTTGGGCAATATGAATAAGGCCTCTATCTGTGACAACGTTTACATGAGGTCATGAGATGGGTTATCATGTAATCCTAACTGCAAATTAGCTACTAGTTTATCTTATTTTTTCATCGGTAAAGCATTCAATTTTAGGATTCCAATGAAACCCAAGTAAAACAAAAACAACGTTTTTAACAGCAGATAAATAATCCTGCAGAATATTCAGGAGTATTTTGCGTTTTTAAGTAGTGGTAACTGTTGAAATGTTGTTTTTTTATGATGTATTGTATATTTTTAAGGTAGGGAAGAAAAGATGGTGGTATCTCCAACACATGTTGTCAATGGCAACCCGACTCTTCCGCCATTTCCGGAAAACATGCAAATGGCGATGTTTGGTAAATAATTTCGTTTAGTTTAAAAAAAAAAAAAAAAACTGTGTGATTTTAACCTATTATAAATTTGAATGTGCACTATCATTGTGTTCATGCCCAAGTATTTTTATGCTATGTTGCTTTTATTATATTAGTAAGCAGAAATCTTACTAAACCTCAACTGATTATTATTATTATTATTGTCCAGTTATGTTCCCGGAATACTGTTCACAACATGAATACAACCCCTTTGCTAATTTCTACTCGTGGTCTTAAGAATAAAAGAATGCGAAGTCATTTATAACCCCCTTTTTATATTAAAATACAAATCCACATCCGAATTCTTTTGAAGAGGAATGAAATAATCAACTCATTCGTGAGTAATTAAACAACTATGTATACGCATGTATGTGCACGCACGTGTTTGCATTCAATAAAATACAAACCATTAGATGTTCAAACATGACAATAGTAATTCGCAAATCATATAGAATTTTTCCATTTTAGGAATGGGGTGTTTCTGGGGTGTAGAAAGGTTGTTCTGGAGACAACAAGGGGTGTACTCTACCCAGGTAAGACCCTTGCACAATCTTTTTTTTTTTATCAAAGCACTGGAAAGCCGATCTTTTCTTCTTGAAAATGTAGTAGGTTTTAAGGATAAATAGGAGGTTGGTTTAACGATTTTTCCTAGCAATAACCAGTGCTTGTCAAATTAAGGTACATGTAATTAATTGTCGGTTTTAATCTTATAAACTATTTCTCTTTGGCCAATTGAGCAAAATTTAAATACATTTATTACTTTTTGTCCAACAATTCGTGCATGAAGCCTAAAGACATTACATACCTTTTCTCGCTTTTTCTTCTCTGTGCTGCAAACAGCTTGTAAAATTAAGTCTACGCCGCTCACGGTGTACCAAACAGTTTTACAAAGGTTCGCTTATTTTCATCAGACGAGTAACAAATCAAAATTTGATGTATGTCATTTAAATGCGAATTCACATTATATTTTACTCTCTGATAAAATAAATATTCTCTTTCATAGGCAGGGTACTCTTCCGGTTACACGTGTAATCCCACTTACCCAGAAGTACGAACGGGCAGAACTGGACATGCCGAGGTTGTCAGGGTTATACATGATCCGGATATTATATCATATAGTGAACTATTGAAAGTAAGAACACACATTCATATGGTAGCTGATTTGTGCCATGTTGTATTTTTACTCCGCGAGACGGCGAGCGAAAACACGACATGGCAAAAATCAGCCACCAAACCTTCAATTTTTTGTTAAAGGCCCATTATGCTACAGAAATCATTTTTAAATCTCAAAAACTGTTCATTTTGGTATCTTGTTACAATTTCTAAAAGAATACTCATATTTGCTTTATGTTGGCAATAGATATAATAATTATAGCGAATTAGTATTTTGTATGGAAGTCAAAATACTACAAATGTACTTTGTTTAACGATACATTACTGCATGTTCAGCGCTTTTTTTTAGATGTAATACATCATTTTAAACACATATTTGATATTTCTAAAGAATTGAAAAAATGTTCATTTCTGAGGCATAATGTGCCAATGAAAGCATTTAACGCATTAATAAAAAATAAATAAGTATGAGTATTCCACTTATCACTTTTTTGTTCTACTGATTCTTTTGCAATCTTTCAAAATTTAAGAACATCGGAAAAATTTGCATATACCAAACATTAGGCATGGATCTAAATCTATATTTGTATTTCAGATATTCTGGGAAAATCATGACCCGACCCTAGAAAATCGCCAAGGTCGTAGTACAGGGACCCAATACAGATCTGGTATTTATTATTACACCGACGAACAAAAATCTGAAGCCGAGGCTTCCAGGGATAAATACAGTCGTCTGCTGCAAAGTGAAGGTCACGGGAAAATATTTACGGAAATAAAACCCGTTTCCAAGTTTTACTACGCGGAGGATTATCATCAACAATACTTGCATAAAAATCCGGAGGGGTATTGCGGTCTTAAAGGGACTGGTGTTTCTTGTTCTTAGTTCATCAATAAATCTTATAGATTTTACAATGTTTTATTTTTGTTAAACATCGACCTATTGAGAAATCTTATTTGTTTCATAACGATTTTATTTGAAACAACCCAAACCCGATTTGCATTACTTGGTTTCAATATGAAATATTAGTTGTTTATCACTATCTTACAAAGTTTGTAACTACCTTTAATTTTTATGCAATCAGAGAGACAGCCGATTTTTACATCTATTTTCACCTAACAAAATAAATACAAAAATGTGATTCTACATATAATATATATTGACTGCACAGTTACTCTTTCGCGAGATGATTATACGAGGTTTGTTCGTAGGTATTTGTATATATGCAAACTGAGCTGATATCAATAAACGAAACGAAACGAAACGAAACGTAAAGTTCGCGGACGCAGGTACAATGACGTCAAAAATACGGTGGTGACGCCGATATCATGAGAGCATTGACACATACCATTGCCGAAGAACATAAGAAGAGAGCATAGTCACTGCCACCTATATTTGTTGAGATGATTGTGGAAGAAATGTTTTGAATTCTTATAACAGATCGGTCCTCTTTGCTGCAACAACATGCTTCCGGCTAATTTGTTTAGTCATGTTACGACACTACTAGTTGATTTGAAATAAAATATGTCACCATTTAATTCTCTAGAATAACATCATTTTCATCCAACATAGTCTACATATTCTTTCACCTGCATACTTTTTATTCGGAAATAATTTGAGAGATTTACGTAACATAAGATAAGAATGAAGAGATACATATTACAAAAATTACAAAAACTATTTTTACAGAACGAATAAATTGATCTTTACTTAGAAAGAGCAAACATAAGTGTTTAAACGTATATATAATGAACGTATATATAGTCATTTAATTAGTGTATATCAAGGGAGATAGCTATTGCAATACTATTGATTGTAAATTGTGGTTGTTTCCCTTGTCATTTCACTTGTATTTTAGAGGACTTGCATGTTTTATTGAACGTTACCAACATGCTGTATTAAATTATATAATTCGAATTCTATAAAATTAACAAAAGCAAACCAAACAAATATAACGGAATAAAGATCATCAAACTATCGAGATCAAATACCGTAGTTTACATGCAAAGTAGGCGTGCTATCAGGAATATTATTCTACCTTTGTCTAGATTTTATAAAAAATGTTTCATATTAATTTTCTATAAAAGTGTTTTATGGGCTAGATAACACAAGGAAGTTAAAGAACCCCGACGAAGATGCAGGCTTTGAAAAAAGAAAATAAATAAATAAAAATACTAGTAAAGTAAAGAATAATTGGCACACTTCTGTTTATTTTTTTTTCTTTCCATTTATTCAATTTTTAAAGGAAATATTATTAAATTCTGTCAGTTATATAGATCTATTGAAGTGTTGTTGGTGTTGGTAGTTTTCACTCCGGATCACGGCAGTAAGCACATTGAAGTTACCAGAGCACAGTTCAGTCATCGCATCATTCCTGGGCAGACTGTCAAGTAGTTTGCTAGTAATAGTTGCCTTAATTTTCGCAAGGAACTGATAACTTGAACTTCTATACATGCCAGAGCAGCGGTATAGTGCAAATGATTATAGAAATGATTTCATGATCAATCACAACAAAAGTGACCTGCGCCGTCCGGGAATCAAACCCGGATCACCCGATTCACAGTCCAACGCTCTACCGGAGCGGTCCGGACGGTGGCGTCAGAAATATTGAATGGTGCATCATACGCTTGTTTTATTTAACAAGTCAGGTCTGGTACCCACGTGATGGAATCTTGTATCATACGCAAAAACCTCACACAGTTTTGTGTTATCTCAAATATAAAACAAATATCTTATCTTTCGTTTCAATAAATCTGCTTTTTTCACAGATAATGTAAAACATTCTTTCTTTTTGAAATCCTTTTATCGATTAACACGAAATCTGGTGTTAAACGGGGGCAATTCGGTTCAATTATAAAAAGTTATTACCGCACGTGTTGTACATGTCTTCCTGAAGAAATTGTTGGGAATCGTGTTTGATTCACAGACGACAACTTTTTGTTGAAGTCCTGCACCGGAATAATTTCAAGCTTGACAGAACCACCGATATCCTCGAGCAATACTATGTATGTTTAAGTCCTTAATAGGTTGGCTTCCTCGCATCCAACCACGGGACTAAGGCAAGCTTGTTTATCCAACATGAGACTCTAAAATGTGTAACAAAATTGTATTTATATATGTCCCTCGTCAAAGCAAATGGTAAGTAAGTAACTAATGCCTTTGATTATTTCGGCGCTTTTTCATGGTATACGGGTTAAAGGATTTCTATGTGGATATTCCAGAACTGTTCAGTATTTTTTCAGAGTGCTTACTTTTCATCATTTTCCGTCGCAAATACCTTATGTTTATTCCAATGAATTTAAATTTCAATATATATCAGTTAAAGCATATGAACAGCAAATTCTAAACAATGTCGCGTTGTTAAATTTGTAAACCACCCGCGCAATAAGTACTGTACAGTAGCCTACAGTAAAGTATTACTAATATCCTCTCGCAAAATCTCGGAAACTTATTGATCAACCCACACATATTACTCATTGTAGTCAAACGCTTGAAATACACACACGGAGTTGGTTGTACTGGTGGGACGGTAGTTTTATTATATTAAAAAAATAATAATAATGACCTAAAATAAAAGGTTTTATTTGAAGCAATACATTATTTGATTTACATTTCGATAATTTGTGTAGAGGATTTTATTGATTTGTGGTGACATTCCCTAACTTTGACGTAGTTTCACTTTCTTTCATTTCATTTTCGTCGTGTGTTCATTTCATACAAATCGTGATAAAAATGTGTCGTGCACTTTTGTTCGTTTGTGTTTTTTCCACAATATTTGGAGTTTTGAATTCGCACAGTTCTGGAAATACGTGTCATAAAGTAAAAGAAGAATTTAGGAAAATTAGTGCGGACGACTTAGTGCCAGATTTACCAGTTATAGGTAAGTTCTGTACACTCAAAAGTGTTGGTCTGTCACTCAGCTGTCAATCAGCTGATGAAAGGGCCGCGGGCGGTGACATCAAAGGGTAAATTGGTGAACATTATTAGACGTAATTAGTAATTAAATATATTACGTTTAAAGTGTTGACACATTTAATTTACTAATTATTATTATTAATTATGAGACAAAATAAATTTCTTCAAGAAATAGATTCATATACGTTTTGTATCTTTAAAAGAAAAATCAATGATAGAAAAAAATCATCAACTTTTATAAAAATTGCAGTTTTATTAACTAAATATATAAACAATATAAATGTGATACTTTACTAAACTATTTAATTATTTTGGGATTCTTTGTGTCCTAAGATCGTTTTACAGTTTTGATCCACTTCAAAGATTGTTCGCTAAATTAAAGAACTGCCATCATCCACTAAAGTCCTTTGATTACATGTGTATGTATTTAAGTTGAATATAAAATATACATATGTACTTAATTTAAAGTTGTGAAAAGGTTGGGGTACTTTTTTGTGCATGAATAATTTTACACAAAAGATACCGATTTTATTTTATAGATTGATAAAAAATACAGAGACCTGATGACTTTCTTACTTTAAACTATTTTAGACTATTCTTTTTTTAATGTATTTTTAACATCTATTTCATGAGAACGGATTTTTTTTGGGGACAGATTTCTTTAATAATATAATGTAGTATATTTTCCCTTTTGCAGATAATTTTTTTCTACTCTTCAATTGCGTCAATAATGAAAAGTGAAACCAGGTGCATTTTCAATAAAATATCTTCATTTTGTTCTTATATTAGCGGTAATCATGATGAAATTGCATGAGTGAAGTGAATTAACAGCAGGAGTGGTAGAGCTTTTGTATACACGCCCTGTCTGTTTGCTGAGGAAAAAATGAAACTGTCATGGATGTTGCGTAAAACCATTTTTTTTAACGCTGCATTCTGCCGGATATAGGCAGTTTTCATCTGCCTATATTAAACAACTATTTACTCCCCATAGATATTATATGGTCCAGCATATATCCCTGAAAAATGGTGATTTCCTTTCCACATGAAAATCTAATTCAGTTTTTTATCCCCATAGTACTTGGTAATGTGCATAGTCATTCTTTTAGTTACACAACACCCCTTCTACCATATTTTGGGGAATATTATTGGGACTTTGATTTAAGGATTTTCAAACCTGCTGCAGGTAGTTAAATCCAGTCAAGATATAGTTAAATCAAGTCAAGATATAGTTAAATCAAGTCAAGATATAGTTAAATCCAGTCAAGATATAGTTAAATCAAGTCAAGATATAGTTAAATCCAGGGTATAAGAAGTCCTGCACTATGAGTTGAACCTATCTATCCCCCACCATTGTGGCACCACAAAATCAATATTACCACTGCTCCACTGCATTGCCACAGAAGTGCAAGGGCAGATGGAAGGTTAAAACTTGCCTCATTTTCCCAGCACTTTCCTTGCCCTGTCCCCTAGCATGGGGAATGTGTATTCAGTTGACTGATGAAAATGTAATTATTTACCAGATAACCATTAAAAATTGTTTGTTTGCCACTTCCTACCTAAACAGTTTTGGAAGACAAGCAGTAAGGTACCTTAGTAAAGATAATTTTGATCATATATTCTGTATAATAGATTCTGAGATAATTTTGTTTTGAGTCAAAATCTTGCCTCAGAGTTGGAAATAATTGCCCTTGTAAATTATTACAATATCATCTTAAATCAGCATTACAATATATTAATACTTGATACATGATATTTAATTCATAATTACCTATGTTGTAACTCTCTAGTTTGCAAAAATATTTATACGATTCCTTTGAGTGTTACTAGATACAGTCATTGAATGTTTAGATTTGTACATTAAAATAATTGTCCTAAAATGTTGCTGCAATGTGAATACTGACCTGACAACTGTTGTCAAGCATGTATCATAGAGATCTTTGCTACCACCAGCTTAACCAGCATTCAAAACTTGACATACAAATCTATTCAGAAGAATTCAATTTTGATATTTATAAATTTAGTTCATTTTTATACATATATATAATTATGATACAACATTATGATAATAAGGTATACAATGCTTGGAAAATTGAAAAAAAAATATTGAAAAAAAATCACTTGTACAGCTTCTATGTTATCTTATTTCATTAAGCTGCAAACATAGGGTAAAGAAAAAAAACTGCATAATATTATATGTATAAAATGATAACGGTAAGTAATATATTGTTACAGAAACAGCCCCAAGTTTGTCGATGAAATGAAATAAAACGTCAACTTATACTACAACATGTAAAGAAAGATCTATACTATTTCATGTTTGATATTCAATAATATGACAAACTACATTTTTATACTACAATCTAACTTTTACTGACATCAACTGGGTAATAAAAATATAAAACATCGATCAAAACAAATTTATAACTTTCCATGTATTACATGTATAGATGTATGACATAATTTGAGGACAGGTGAAAATGGAGTTTGTTACACTGTGTCAGACTTGAATTTATGAACTATCCCCACATTAGAACAATTATCCCCGCAAGTACAATTATCTTCACAAGTACAATTATCCTTACAATTATCCCCTCAAGAACAATAATTCCTACAATTATCCCCATCATTATCCCCACAAGTACAGTTATCCCTACAATTATCCCCACAAGTACAATTATCCCCACAAGTACAATTATTCCTGCATTAGAACAATTATCCCCGCAAGTACAATTATCCCCTCAAGTACAATTATCCCCTCAAGTACAATTATCCCCACAAGTACACATATCCTTACAATTATCCCCTCAAGAACAATAATTCCTACAATTATCCCTATCATTATCCCCACAAGTACAGTTATCCCTACAATTGTCCCCACAAGTACAATTATCCCCACAAGTACAATTAAATACAATTATGAATTAATCTACTATTTTGGTCATGAAACCTTAGTAGTACTAAGTACTGTTAAGGAATGATAAAAGCAAGTTTATAAAATTCCTTAAATACAAGATAAACGTCTTTTGATACAATTGTGGTGAAATTGACAGCGGAAGAACAGTTTCAGTACTTATTAATAAAAGTTGCATAAATTTTACATTATAAAGGACAAAAGTCTAGCACTGTGTGGATTTGATAGTACTAATATGTAGGTTAACACTTTAAGACAGTATCTGTTTAAATAAAGTAATAAATTTACAAAGAACACTCTGGTCAGATAATGGATACTTGCTTAATAATACAAGGTTCTATTTATATTTGCATTAAAGACAGAGCTCAAAAAACTTCTGTTTGAAGAAAATCTGAGATTTCATAAAATATTCATGAAAAATGAAAAAAGGCTTATATCCTTACAAATTCATGTTTTTTTTTCCAAGGTATAGCCTTTAATAATGTAACTTTAATAATGTAATATGTATATACATATTATGTATATTAAATGTAAATCTGTTTTAACTTTTTAAGCCTGTAATTATGTCGCATTTAGCATAACATTATACCGTTTACAGGTATTAAATTAAATGAAGAAGAAAAAAAACAAACTTTCAACGAAGGTGTCTTTTCATTCCAGACCATTTAATTAATTCACATGCATTGTAATTACAATTTTATACAATGATATACAGCGACCTCCCATGAAAAAATTATATTATTTATGAAGAGAAATGCTGTGAGGTATAAACTTAATTAAAATCTGATGTACAGCTTGCCCTGCTGAATTTTAAATATTTAAGTCAAAATAATGCATGAAGGAGACGTGTCCCTAAACTGGGTCATTACAAATTGTAGTTTTTCTTAAAAATATGCGGCACATGCTTAATAACTTTGGCACCGGTCGCACATGACGTAACTTCCTAGAATCACCATATCTGTTTGTTACATACCATTAAATCACATTTTCATGAGGTTGAATACCCCCCCCCCCTCCATTTAGTGCCCACTTGGACTGAGTGGCAAATTTTGGAGGCGGAAATCTTTAAGAAAATGCGTAAAAATATAAGTGTCCTCTCTAAGGATAAAGAGCTTGTGAAAGCTAACTTTTTTTGTTTTATTTTGTTATTTTATTACCAATGTATGAATTAAGGGACAGGAAAACTTCTTGTTAACTAAACTGCTTTCTATTTGTATATAAATTAACTCATGATATGATATTAAAAGTATTTAAAATGCTGTAAATTGTAACATATGAACAGATCTGCAGGACTTGCTAAATTAAATTAATCTCATACTATTAAACATTTTACGAAACTTAACACAACCTTTTGTTTTTAAAAATTCCTTAAGAAATATCAGCACTATCTTATCTACTTTTGTTAAGCTTATTGTTTGAGTTATCTTATCTGGTAAAATTTTTCATTCTAAATGAAGATATGTTTTCCTATTTTGTCACTTTCGTTGGTATGCGGATCATTGTATGACGTTCCGTCCGTATCAACACATTGATTCCCTATCTGTGACGTTTCAAAACCCACTTTTTTCATGATGTGTGAACACGGCCTAATAAACTTTTCTTATCAGTAAAAAAAAAATGTAAAGAAAAGAATTTCATTGAAATTAAAATGTTTAAGAGATGGCCGTTACAGATAGTGTTTTCGTCTGTCACATTTAGTTTTGTTTGATAATGGACCGCAAAAAAGATCAATGTTAAAATATGTCTGAATAATTGAACAAAAAAATGTACTACATTATGTCTGTAGTGTATTATAACATAATATTAATGTAGTTTTTGTTATAATAATGCATGGAAAGAGATAAAAAGGCATTTAAATAAAGCAGACCTATAGTTTGGTCGAACGATCATGAGTCTCCTTAAAGACCATTTCCAAAGAAAGGCTTAGATGATAATGTTAATGTTTTAGAGACTTCAGGAATCAGGCATAATATAACTAAATAAATAGAATGGACAATTTATAATTTGAAGAGAATGTATTGTTGCCTTAATTAGTGCAATAACTGAATAAGTCCTTCCTAGGTTAATAGCAGTAAACTGTTAATCAGTTATCGCACAAAGATGATTAATTTAATTTAATTTATTAATTTATTATATTAAGAGAATAACAACATATATAGTCCTGTCCAACCGAGGTGGGTTTGAAACCCGGGATATACGGGTCTTCATTCTATAATGTGAGACAGCTTTTATGTGTGATCAAGCTAATTCTTACATTAATGCCAGTGGTTCTTTCAATAGTAACATAGGTGTCAGTGTATGCCAGAAATAATGCAATTGACACACTGGGGAACCAAAATAGTCTAAAGGTCTAAAAATCCATCATATAATGTGTTTATAATACTTCTAAGATTTAAAAATTATTAATCGGAATTGTTTAGACAATGTATCACAATATATATTTAAAATGTACTGTAAAGTAAAATAATTGTACTGTAATAGTTTTACCAACTTTGTACATAAAACCCTATCTCTAACATAAACTTAGTTTTTCTAGCCCAAAGCTCTTGCTTGTCTATTATATATACCCATCAGCATTTATATCTTCACATACAGTTAAATATGTACCATTAAAATCTTACTGTTAAAATGTTTATATGTTATTGATAGTCTAGATTTTACAAATAACAATCATATGATTTTTACCCTGGTTTTTTTTACCCAAAGTTTAAGCTATTGTTTAATTATTATCAGTATTTAACACATATTAAATGACTTGAAATAATCTAAGCTAACATGTGAGTTTCAGCATCACTTTAAAATTTTATTATAGTTTATTATAGTTTTTAGTTTATACCAAGCAATTCACAAGGTATTCAAAATCTTATATTATTTTTGCTCATACAAGTTTAGAATTTTGGCCCCTCACAGTAGCACAAAAGATCTTAAGTAATTACTCATAATATAAACCCAACTTCAGATAAAAAATGGAATCCATTTTTAATATGTGTAACTTGAGTTTTTATGCATATAATAATTACTAAGTGATTTAAGACAGTAATGAAATTAAATACTTATAAAAGTTAATTGAAAAATTTAGGTTTGGTTTTGCTAAAGAACATTTTGTTAAATTCTTAGATCCCTTAAGAACAAAAAAAAGATCCCTAAGCTTGAAGACTGTAATAGTTTCCTGTAACCACAACATTATTTGATTGGTTACTATAGAATAAATATATAATAATAATAAATATCATAAGTATACAAAAACAATCTGCACATTAAAGTCTGAAAACTGTCTTCATTATACATAATGAGGTGGCGAGCTGTCCAGCGACATTGATTCAGTCTTTAATTACACAGCGTATTTCATCCTTTCCCCGTTATAGATGTGATTCATATGAGACGTTAATGGGGATATAAATGAAACAACTGTATGTTTTATAAATGTTACGCTGTCTGCAAACGGACATGAATCGTGTCTGAACCCCTCCAGCAATGGTTTACCTCAGTACAAGGTGAAAACTAAATGAATAAAAAAATAATCCCGACACTTCATTGCCAATATCCTAGGCTACAAAGTTACGTAGGCATTTTATTGTACTGGTAATAAAAAAAATAATGAAACAAAAAATTTAATAAGTTCATAAATTTTGTTGAAATGCTAAGTCATTGCATGGAAAAAAAATTTGTTTTTATTGTATGATGATGTTTAGCTCCAGTGGGTCAAATACATTATATGAATATTAATGACCTGTTTAAATTTGTAAGAATAGATCAGTACTATAATTTATATTGCTTGATATAATTTCCCAATATTATAATTTATCATTACAAACTTAGCATTATTATGAATTTGATTTGTGAGGGGATTCATTTTTTGATTTATTGTCAAATTTTGGAAAAATCAGATTTTTTTAAATAAATCCAAAACACAAGAGTTTAAGATGATGTTTTAAACATTACAATGCTATATGACAGAAACTTGAAGCAACCTTTATTATGGTGGAACAGCGTAATTGATTTAGAAAATAAATATACCACAAATCAATTTAGCTCTGATCAGGTCCTGCTAGCTGTCACAATTTATATGAAAAACAAAACAAGAAGAATTTATATCTGGGACAGTGATTCTTTGTTTTATAAGATGGACTGTGGGCATGTTGATAGATCTGATAGGAAATAGTATAATAATTAATATCATGTATCATGGGCCATTCACATGCTATACGGCCATTATTTAAAGTATTGTATTATCTTTACTGTTAACACAGACAATTGATTTTTATTGGAAAAAAGGACAAAATACTGTAGATATTTTTTTTTATACCATTTTGACCAATCAGATATTGATATTTACATTATAATTAGTTATATTTAAATCTTCTCTAATAGCAGCTAGTACACTGTCTTGTTTTGTCATCCAAAATAAGAATGCAGTTACTAGATTTAATACTTTAAACACTCCCAACAAAAATCACATCAAGTGCATTATTTTTCATCCAACTAATGGTAACCATATTACTCGGCAAAAAACATTTTTTTAAACTATACACATGCACTTAGAAATATTCTACTCAGAGGTTGAATGGATTAAGTATTGCATATTTTAATACCTATGTATTATATACATTTATATGTTTCTTGAAGCACATTTATATGTAACAAATTGCACGCTGCACATGTTTATTGGCAAGAAATGCCAAGAGCATGCAGATTGGCCAGATAAACATCAGTGAAAGGTCCCGCAGACTTTCCAATTAGCATTTATTGCTTTTCTAGGAAATCTATACCATCTCTTGCAATATGTTGTTTTTTTTCCAATGTAGGAGAAAGTCATATTTTCAAATAATGTTGTTATGTACAAATACAGGCCTTTTTAGCTCGACTTTTCTATGAAAAGGGGAGCTATCCTACTCGGCCCGGCGTCGGCGTCGGCGTTAGCGTTGGCGTCACACCTTGGTTAAGTTTTTCGTACCACCCCACTTTATTTCAGAAGTATTACAAGTATGGCTTTGAAACTTACCATACTTGTTCACCATCATAACCTCCATCTACAGACAGGAGTACATAACTCTGTCAAGGTTTTTGACAGAATTATGGCCCTTTTTTGACTTAGAAAGTGTATTGAGCTTGGTTAAGTTTTTTGTACCACCTCACTTTATTTCAAAACCATTGGAGGTATTGCTTTGAAACTGACCATACTTGTTTACCATCACGACCTTCATCAACAGACAAGAGGACATAACTCTGTCAAGGTTTTTGACAGAATTATGCCCCTTTTTGACTTAGAAAATACATTGAATATGGGTAAAATCCACTTATTGCCTTAACCCTTTGAGATATTGCTTTGAAACTTTTAATGCTATTTCACATCATTACCCCCATCTGTACGCAAGAGAAGGTAACTCTGTCAGGGATTTGTTTTAAAAATTAAGGCCTTTTATCGACTTAGAATCTTGGTTAACTTTTTTGTACCAGTCAACTTTTTGACTGAACTGGTTGAGATATTAAATTGAAAGTTGGAATACTTGTTTACCATCATGGTCCCAAAACATGGGCAGGAGAAGGTAATTCTGTTAAGGATTTTATTTGAATTATGGCCCTTTTTGACTTAGAAACTCAGTTAAAATTTTCATTCTTGTCCACTTGTTGACTTAACCATTTGAGATATTACTTTGGAAGTTGGAGTTCTTATGTGCCATCATGAGACCTATCTGTAAGCAAGAGAAGATAACTCTGTGAAAATGTTTCTTGATTTGTACTTAGAAATTCCTAGTTAAAGTCTTGTGTGCCCTTAACTGTCAAAGTTTTGTTTTATAGGCAAGCACTAAAAAAGTCGAGCGCGCTGTCCTTCTGACAGCTCTTGTTAAATTATCCACCTGTCGGCTATAATTGTGCCATAGTTTTTCATAATTTTTTTTTTTGTTGTGTAATAGATGTTAGTGTTTCGTTATAAACAATTTCCATTGTTCACGACTTTTCCATTTCTCTTTTGTTTCTCTGTTGCAGACGAAGGTTTGAGAATATGTTCCCGATCACTTACAGCCAAACAAGCGTCCTGCTGCTCGCAGGACTCGGAAATGAAGTACCTGTTGGCAGCGGAGAAATATATCGTAGACAGCATAAGATACAGGAATTCTAATTTAAAAAGACGTATAACAGAACACATGGGTGATTATCAAGGTAGGAAGTATACTTTTTATTGCGCAAAAAATTTCATCAGATCATTGTTGGAAATTTTGCTTACTATGAAGCAAATAACCCCCCTATAGTGCAGTAAAATACACTTTAAAAAGAAAAGAAAAAAAAATAACACCCAAAACGTATAGTTTTAAATGTATTAGAAATGTCCTAAAACGTCAGGTCCCATTACTCTGATAAAATTTCTTTGGATTAGTGAGTTATCTCTCTTCTTTTTTATCCAAAGTTATCTTACCTCTAAATATGCATACAAGCATAACTAGGCTTCTTTATGAATATTTTTAATACATATTTTGTATATAAATATATTATAGGAACTAATCATAAAACAGATATGTATGACTGACTTTATAATAATAAAGAAGCGCCATAAAATTTGAACTTGCATGTAATTTGTTTGAAATTTGAAAATTTGTTTTCATCTTTATTCATATAATATTCACATGCAGCTATGTGCGGTTTATTTTGATGTGATTATGTAACCAAATTTAATGTTGGTACGAAATAAAAAAAAAAATACATCCATAATTATCAATTATTTTCCTTCGTTTTAAATGTTGACAAGTGTAATCACTTGTGCATAAATTATGTAAATCGGATATGGATGTTAGAGGCATGAGCGTTGTTGATGCTTTGAAGTAACAACGATTTATGTACTCACATATTTATACAATTGTAATAAAATCCCACATTCCGAATAGGTGAATATGAATCAGAATCTAGTTTAAACTGGTATGCGTCAATGCGTTGAACATTGTGCATTATGTTGGTTTTGCCGTTTTATGTGCATTATATTGGTTTTGCTGTTTTCCTATTTCTGTACTTTCTATATTCAGTACGGGAGTATTATATTTATAATTAATCTCGCATGAATAAAAAGTGTAAAGATAATAGTGTAAAGACTTGCACTTAAGTGTATTAAACGGTGTTTTAAGTGGGAAGCAGTAATCGTAAGTGTATAGGGTCCTTCCCAAAATTGGTCAATTTTTATGATGTCCTTTGACAAACCGGTACACTTTCATTGTAAAAAATTGCAAGATATGCCTGTTCAAAGGCTTTGTAACGTTGGACAATATGTTGTGATCATTTTGATCAACTGAACCTAATGCCTCAAGATTTCTTGACTGTTATTAATTGCACTTAAAATTTTACACCTTTTTGCTTATACCAATCCCTGAATATTGTCCTAATGACAACTTTTTATAAGATTATACTCTTTTGCTTTTTTGCTAAAAACTTTTCATTTAATTTGAAACCTAAAGTCCCTAAATGTAGTTCTTATAACCCCCTGACTCCCCACTGCCTATCTTCCCTTTCACATTTATCCGCAGTCCCTCTCACTATATAATTCTTAATTATACCCAATTAATCCTACTTTTCCGAATTGGTGTATCTCACATAACCTATATCTCTCAAGATTTTCTTTCAATAAAATTGAGCCGTGCCATGACAAAACCAACATAATCGGTTTGCACTCCGCGCAGTCTGATCAGGATCCATGCTGTTGGCTTACAAACCCTATTACAAGTAGAGACACTGACAGCGAACAGCATGGATCCTGATCAGACTGCGCGGAGGCGCAGGCTGGTCTGGATCCATGCTGGTCACAAACCCATTATGTTGGTTTTGTCATGGCACGGCTCAAATATCAAAAATCAAACTATAATATTGTAAATAAGGCTTACAGAGAAATAAAGAAAAATTTAAACTGCATAACAACTACAAATTCTTAATGATGTGAGTGGGGGAAAAAACCACCTGAACTATTAATTTGATAGTTAAATTTGATATTTTTTTTATTGACATAAATTGTCGCTTAATTTAACTTCAGAACACACAAATAAAGGGGGAAAAAATCACCTAAATCAGAAGTAAGAAATGTAAATAGCTTACAAAAATGTAATCATAATAGCATCTGTATTATATTAAATTAAGTGTTACTCAAAACTAGGAAAATGAGTTAGCAAAAATTACTACGCAGAACTGTACACTGTATAACTAGGTGATACCAACAATGCCAACAGATAATGATGTTCGTGCATCGTTTTTACGTGCTTCAAAGGCTTTTTTTTTCGAAAATTGTAATTAATACATGCAGTAATGATGGATCTTAGGTATGTCCTAATTTAACGTTAACTGTTGTTTTTTTTTCTTCCTATTTATTAGGAATATCATGCTGGTTTTTTTAGTAAAGCTAATAGGTATAGTAAAGATTGTCTTTCTTTTTGCTAATGAGTTACAGGATTAGGAAAATTCCAGGCTGTAGACAAATGTGGAATGTTCGATGTAGGTCCTTAAAAGAGCTGTACACCATCAGCAAGGTGGTAGCCAAACATTTTTTCATTTACGGAAAGCAAGTCCTTTCTTTTTGCTGCATTAATTAGTTATTATTAAAAACAATTTTATGTATAAAAGCTTAAACTCTTTGATTGGATGGCACAGCGAATGATCACCTTAAGAGTTAAACTATGATCTTAGTAAATGTTATTGTAGTTTCGCCCTTTCAGAATGCAAAGTAAGATATAATTATAATCATTGGAAAAATTTTCAGGGATAGATTTTAAGGGGCAAATTAATAATATAAGCTGCATTCCTAAAAAAAAAATCAACACCAAAAGAAGAAACAAATTAATTTCAAATTTTTTCAGTGCAGTTAGACTGAAGTACACAAAGACGATTTTGAGGGTACCATGCAAAATTACTAGTATATAGTGACAGAAAAATAATGGTCATAAATTTTTTGTACAAATAATAACCAAAGGAACGGGACAAATATTCCAGGACTCTGCAGACTTGATAATAAAGTATATTTGTGTGTTATAACTACAATTATCTGTCTGAGTATGGCACTTATTTTCGAGCCATTCGCATTAATTATTAGTATAATTACAGTCGGATCAAAGTGACTGGCAATTCATATGCACTACAGTGGCAGAAAATATTGTTAATATCCGTGCGAAACTTTCCAGTCTGTAATATATGTATAAAGTACAATTCTGTATGAAAATACAAAGTGTATGAAATATCTTAACTTTCATTTGAGGCTCAGAGATTTAGGTACCTCTTTTTTTTTTAAGAATTCAACAACTGATTTTATGATTTTAGAGTTAGACCAGTTTATCTTAATGATGGTTTAGTGAAGAACTGAAACAGGTAGCAAAATGTATTTACATAAACCGGACTAGTGGTGATGTGCCATTTTTCTTCCGTTATACATAAACTGAAGGTAGAGGAGGACTAAGAGAAACCACACGTCAGTTATACATGTTTAAAAAAAGTTTGTTAAAGCTGCATGCCACCTGATGAGCAAAAAAAGACCCCAAAAAAAACAACAAAACAAACAAACAAAAAAACAACAAGAAAATTAACTTTAAAATTTAATAATATTTAAGGAAAAGTAAAAATTCACTATTCCAGTAAATATTTTTTTTGTTATTTGCAATGAACGACTGTTCACCATATTTTTAGTCATTATTAGATTATGTTTGCATTTTTGGCCTTTATTTAGTAATTTACGTGGATTGAAAGTGCGTTTGCAATCGTGTATTAATACTTTCTTTGTTCAATTTACTATATTATTTTACTTTCTGGTAATTTTTCAAATTTTTCATAAAAGTTAGCATGAATCTGGAGGCATGCTGCTTAAAATGATAAACAGGCATAACAGTGCTTGCATTCGGTAGTGAAACCCCTTGAGATTGAATTTGATACCCCTACTATAGGCAATGAGATAAAATTATAGGATAAAATAGATCTGTTCATAAAATGTACCAGCATATCATTATGAATGGGATAAATGCATGACATTATATTTGTATGATTTCAAAGAATTAGTGATAAATTCAGAAGGGATTTTTTAAGGGGAGTGTTAATTTTACAACATATCCAAACATCCTTATATTTCAAATCTATGCAGAACCTTTATCGAGTTATGTGACAAATTGAAAAAAAACATAATAGAAACATAATTCTGACCTCTATATTCCGCAATAGCAAATGATTTAGGGACAAGTTGATTATGTTTGAAACCCTTTGTATATTATAGTGTCACAGGGCAGCCTGACTGGGTTCGAAACTGGAACCCTCGGAATACCATAATGTGGCTCTATACCGACTGAGCTTTATTTAAATCCGGCCGTAAACCGCTTTAATATGACTAATAAGTCAATATATCAATACTGTGACATTATTATATACAGTTTAAGATTGAAGCAAGGAAAATAAGTAGATCCCCCATCTCATTGTGACTCAAAAGCCTTATTGAATGAAAAATTGGTTGAGGAAGATAAAACTTAAGAAAGAAACTGTTTAAATTATTTATTGACAATCTAACGTACTGTTGAATAATTTCCGATTAAACTTCCGTATCAATTTGTTTCAAGAGCAGTGCACTTCAATTAAACAGATCAAGTCAAGTGCACTAAGCCACTTTACAGTGTATAAAGTAATTTGTGGGTTATAAACAGTTTTTCATTCACAAATCACGAGTCATACTTTAAAAGAAAAACATTCTGCTATTTAGTGCAATTGTTAACAATCCCAAATTTTTTTCTGAGCACATCACATGATAATTCTGTAGTTTATATTAAGATTGCATGACATTCTTTTGAAAGGAATTCTCAATTTAGAACCAATTTGGTTAAGGTTTTCCCAATTTGGTCATCGTTATTTTAGGAATTGTACAAAAATGTATGAACACGTCATAGTTGAAATTTCAATGACGGATTTAAAAGAATTTATCTCGTAATTGTGTTAACACTTAAATTAGTACATGATGAAATTTCAACAGGTGGTATTTCTTTATCACTAAAGTATGATACCAGTATGTCAAATCGTTATTTATAGAATCAACAATTTCAATAAGAATATCTTTGTTTATTGGGTTTATATCCCTCTTTTAAAGATTTCACAACATTTTGAAATTAAAATTCCGATAAATATTTACTTAACGCATACTTTACACTCAGACCGAAAAAGCATAC